TTTTAAATTTTTATATAATAACTTGTATTTTATATAAAATAAATAAAAACAGACTGAAGATGGTCGAAATATTTGTTAATAAAATAATTTATTACATAAATTAATCTTTGTGATATTTTATTTAATTCAAAGTTTGTTTTTATTTATTTTATATAAAATACAAGTTATTATATAAAAATTTAAAATTAAAAACCACGACCTAAAGCCCGGCAAAAATTTCAAACATAAATATTGAGGTCGACACCAATACGAATATAATAATTATTAAAAAATAATTTTGATCATAAAATAATTAAAAAAATTCGAAAAACATTTATTTGTATTATTCTATAATACCAGAAGAATCAAAAAATCTGATTAATTAAAAAATAAAAATTTGGAATTAAATTTTTTTTCATTTTATTTTATTTTTATTTGATTTTTATTTACTTTTTTTATGTTTCATAAAAATTGCATGTTGTGGCATGAATTAAATGTGTAGTTTTTAATATGATTGATTATAATCACTATTTTTTTTTTTTTTTGGATTTTAAGTAAGTTTTAATTATATCTCTAAGTTATATGGGCATATACATTAATGCATAGAATGATGAGGATTGGTGTATACATATATACATAATTCTAAAGCACAGTAATTATATATTATATTGCACCTATTTATTTGTTGTAATTCATTAATAAATTATGTGTAAGTCATATGTACTCGTACTTTAGTCTGTAAGCTATATACTATATAATATCGGCATATCATATGTGTTATGTGTAAGCAGAAAATTCAAAATATTACCATCAAAAACGAAATTAGTATATTTTGAAAAAAAAAAAACTGACTAATTTCTTAACTTTCATTATCAAAATTTAAAATTTATTTATTAATGAACTATTTAAAATATATATATATTCCAAATTAAATTTTTTTAAATTTGGCATTAACTTACATATTACAACATTTATTTTCTTGTTCTCTTTTTTTATCTCTACTTTCTCCATTTTCTATTACAAACATTTTTACATAAATACTATACACATATATATGTGCATATTGCATTTTGTAAACATTTACTCATGTCGTACTACATGAAACTATATATCGATCGCATCGATCAATAATAGTCTGGAAGAGCCGTGTACGGGCTGTGCAGCACCTTACGGCTATCGTAATGTAATGGCTTTAAGCACGGATACATATCGATTTTCTGTAAGTTGTCGTCGTAGTAATCGATTGAATGAAATCGAACGTAGTTTAACATAATTTTTACATTAAAAGCATTTTAATGGTTTTATTTATATTAAGTTTGGAGTAGTTTTGATGCATGAGGATTGATGTTAATCTTATTTAAAATTGCATGGGACAGCTTGAAACGTGGCATAGAAAACATAACTAATCTGCTTTTAAATGGTTTCAGTTCATACTAACAAACTCAGCCATGCGCTAACATGTCTCATTTAATTATTTTCTATTTTTGTGGAATTTCATATGACAATTAATGCTTTTTTTTTGTTATAATAATTAAGATACACTCTTGAATAATACTTAAAATTATGTTAGATTTTTTTACTTGTGTTTATTTATTTTTTATCTTATCATTTAATTTATCAATATTATCAATATTGATAGTGCATTTCAGTAACCAAATTTTTAGCGTTAATCTAATAATTATTGCTGAATTATTTGATCACCTGAAATGCAATTAAACTTTAAATATATATAATAATAATGTGTTAAGAATCTAATATTATTTAAAGTGAGACTACAATAAGAAATATTTACTTTTTTGATTGCTCAAACTCCGCTGGTTCTGCAGAGTTTAAGTTTGAAATACGCTACTCTTTTTACGCTTTGCATTGACAAGTTTTTTTGTTAAACTTCAGAAAATGCTATTATAATGATTTTTGGTTCTATAAAACCAAATATAAAGTTTCTTAAATATAACAATCGGGTTGTCGTCGCTTAGGGAATCATGATAGAAGACTATATCTCCTGTTTAATCAATCCTGTCGTAGTTTTGGAGAGAACGAAGAAAGTGCCTCACATCTACTTTGTTACTGTCCAGCGCATATGCTGCACCAATTAATTATTTTTGGAAGATCTTTCCTTCTAAAAGATACCATTTCTTTTTTGAAGATCTTGACCAGCTCCAGTATTTCTCTCTAAATAGCATTTTAGACATTGTACAAGGTTCAAGATGGTTTTTAAGCTAAGTTTTTTATACGGCTTACGTGGATCTTCGAATCGCTGGTAAAACCTAACCTAAATATAGCAAAAATATATATTTTTTCTTCTTTTTTTTTATATTACACATACTCTACTGATCTGTCTATGTCTCTTCTTCTACTTCTTTTTCTCCGTATGCATTATTCCCGCTTTTTTTGATCCCTCCTTTTACCTGTTCTACTTTTTTTCTCCCTATATCATAATCCCTATCCCTTAAAATCTTGCTATTTATCCCTCTGTTATTGATTGGATTACTTTTGATTAGAGAATAGACAAATACGATAGACAAATCCTTCTATTTATCCCTTTGATTCGATTTTGATTACAATAGACAAATACGACATATCTACTTTAAAAAACCTTAACCTTATTCGCAATGGCAAATTTCTTTTTCATATATAAATATAAAAAAAAATTTACTCTAAAATATTTTAAAATGTATTGAGTTGAGCTGTTATGCTGCTGAGGTGTCATCAGTATTATACATTGACCCTTCGATTTCTAGATGTGAAGCCCATCGAAATGGCTAATACCATCGACATCCAGGAGGATTGTCACTCTTTGGACGTAACAAGAATGTCTTGAAATTTCATATTATGAAATGCCATATTATTATTTTTTTATATTTAATTTAAAGACATAAACTGTAAATTATATATTTCTATTCGAAATTTATTCAGTTCTTAATTTTAGAAGACTAATAAAACTAGATTTTAAAAATGAACTCTTTTGCAAAATTTTCTATATTCAAGAGTGTATCAAAAACTAAAAAGTATAAATAATTTAAATAATATCAAAAATCACAATGAATTAATAATGGATTTTAAAAATTTATATATTATTAAAATTTTATAAAACCAATAGTCTGAAGTCAAAAATGCTGCTGTATCTGGTAATCTGGATGCACCGGAAGGTGGTTTCGATGCTATTATGCAGGCTATCGCTTGTCGTCAGCAAATAGGCTGGCGCGAGAAAGCTCGACGCTTATTGGTCTTCTCAACAGATGCAGGATTTCATTATGCCGGTGATGGCAAAGTAAGTTCCTGCAATTTTTGTAAAAAGTTTTCAACATAATTATTTTATATTTCCTTTAATTTTTATTATATAGCTCGGTGGTGTTATTGCGCCTAACGATGGTGAATGCCATTTGGATCGCGATGGATTGTACACGCATTCCGTAATACAAGACTACCCCAGTATATCTCAAATCAATCACAAAGTTAAACAAAACGCTATTAACGTAATATTTGCCGTAACTGCAAACCAACATTCTGTGTATTCCAAATTGTCAAAACATATCGAAGGTTCTACAAGTGCTATACTCTCAGAGGATTCCTCTAATGTGGTTACCTTAGTGCGTAAGGAGTACAGTGTAAGTAAAATGAAAAAGTAAATATTGTAAATTTATTTTGATTAATTTTTTCCTTATTTTTTTTAAAATAGAAAATCTCTTCGTCTATTGAAATGAAAGATAATGCCACTAGCAATGTAAAAATTACATATCATTCTGCGTGCCTAAATAATGGCACTGCAGTTCCTACAGCAAAATGTGATGATATTAAAGTTGGTCAGTTGGTTTATTTCACCGCACAGATTTCGGTAACATCATGCCCAGCCGATCCACGTGACTGGAAACAAACAATACAAATTTATCCAGTCGGTTTGAATGAAAGTTTGATTATCGATTTGGAATTGTTATGTTCGTGTCCTTGTGAGAAACCTGGTTCGATTGGATATGAAACTAATTCAGCATATTGTAATGGTCATGGCACGTACATGTGCGGCATCTGTGAGTGCGATGAATCGTACGTTGGTCGGAATTGTGAATGTTCTGTGACAGACGCGCATTCTCATAAAGAAAGTGATATCGGTTGTCGCGCTGGTAATAGTACACAGGATTGTAATGGACGTGGTATGTGTTTATGTGGCATCTGCCACTGCGAGCAACGTGATAATCCCGAAGAAAAAATAACAGGCGACTTCTGTGAGTGTGATAACTTCTCGTGTGAACGTCATAAGCAACAGTTATGCTCTGGTCCCGATCATGGTATATGCGCATGTAATGTTTGTGAATGTAAACCTGGTTGGACTGGTGCAGCTTGCGATTGTCAAGCTTCCAATCACACATGCATACCACCAAATGGCGGTGAAATTTGTTCCGGACACGGTGAATGTGAATGTGGTGTATGCAAGTAAGTTAATCAGTAACTGGAAATTTGTTTATTTACACATGAATAACAACACTCACTTTATTTCGTATATGTACTATATTATTACTTTTTTCATTTCATTTCAGATGCAAAACTACTGAGGAAGGTCGTTATTCTGGCGATTACTGTGAAAAATGTCCCACATGTTCTAGACGTTGTCAAGAGCTTAAAGACTGTGTCCAATGTCAAATGTATAAAACTGGTCCTTTGAAAGATCCAAAGGATTGTGCAGATAATTGCATTAACATAAATCCTATTGGAGTTGAGAAGGTCATCATAGATGATCCAGAAAAAGAATACCAATGTTGGTTCTTCGATGAAGACGATTGCAAATTTTCATTCAAATACACTGAAATTAATAATGAAATTAAAATTTATGCGCAACAAGAACGTGAATGTCCACCAAAAGTATTTATGTTAGGCATAGTATTAGGTGTTATAGCCGCCATTGTTTTAGTTGGCTTGGCTATATTGTTATTGTGGAAATTGTTGACGACGATACATGACAGACGAGAATTTGCACGCTTCGAAAAGGAACGTATGAATGCCAAATGGGATACTGTAAGTTGCATAAAAGCATTGATATACCGAAGCATAAACTATCATTAAAAACGTTTAAATTATTAATAAATTGTGGTTAAATTTGATCCCTTGAAGGACACTAGTGAAAATTTAATACACTTTTTCTAACAAACAAATGAAAATGTTAAGTATTTAATGATAATTTGTGCCTCCGTCTGCAAATTTGAATATATACATTTAATTAATAACAATAATAATATTTTCATTTTCTTTTTTTAAAGGGGGAAAATCCAATCTACAAGCAAGCTACGTCTACCTTCAAAAACCCAATGTATGCGGGTAAATAAACGAAATACAACAATGAACGAATTTTTATATTTTGCCATAAAATCAACTGAACTATTCAAAACTTTGTATTTATGTACAACTAAGTCTTCTCAAAAACATAGAAAAGAGCAAAATTTATTGATTTTCTGCAACGCTATGACATATTGTTAACGTGTTTAATATAAAAATATTTTAAAATGGAACGTAGAGAAAAAATACTGCCATAAAAATAGAAGCAAATCTCGACTTGGGAAACAAATTGTGCCTTTTTTACACTTCCATATATAAATGAAAGTACATATATATATAATTTTAACTCTCGATTTAAAGTTAAAACGTTAACAATGTCAACTCGGTTTTTTTTATTAAATTAAACTTTTGTAAAAAAGCATGTTACTTACAAAAAAAGCATGTTACTTATTTACAAACGTCCCTCTAATTTCTACCAAAACTTTTTCACTTTCTTTATATATATAAATATATATGTTATTTTCTAATATATTTAATTATTAATATAAGCACAAAATATGAGAAATGTACTGTAAATGTGCCTAAAAAGTAATACGAAAAGAGTTTGCCTTAAACTTTAAGTATTTTTGTAAAGCTTTTTATTTTTTATACACGAACTGAGTGTGTATTTTTAATTTTTATAAAATTAGTTTGTAAGTTAATATTAAAATAACTAAATGTATTTATTATAACAATGACGATTTGTGAATAGCAGCCAAATTATGAAATATTTTAACATAAATAAAAATATTTAAAAAACGTAACAAATTTGCAATAAGTGTCCAAAAATTAAAAATTTTTATTTATAATCAAAATTAACGTTTCTATGTGATGCTTTATATTACAATATATATTTTAAACAATTAATTTTGCAATTGACAATTAAGTTGGCATTATTTAAGAAAAACAATTAAATGTTTAATATATATTTTTTTAAATAACACAATTGTATTGTAATTATTTTTAAACAAAAAACCTTGCATATATTATCAGTTTTAAATAAAAAATAAATTTGATTCTATTATTTTTAATTTGTTTAATAATTTATTTCTGTATTAATTTTAAAATTGATAAAAAAATTTACTGCTTAGCAACTAACTATTAAGCTTGTATTTTATGGGTATTTTTTTTTTAATGTAATGCGTTTTTATATACACTTTTATTAAAATATTAATTATAAATATATATTTTGTAATTTGTACTGATTAAAAAATAATATTTTGATTTAATGTTTAAAAATGTGCATAATTTTATTTTTTGTTTATAATAAATAAAAATAATTTTTTAAGTAAAACCAAATATATTTTAGAGTACATTGTTTTTTTTTTAGATATAAATTTTATTCCACAGTAATGTTTTTATAGTCCTAATATTAAAATTAGAAAAAAACAAAATTAGATTTTGAAAAGTAAGAATTTTTGAAAAACAAAATTTTTTATATGAATTTATATTTTATATTACTCATTTAAATGAAATAGAAAATTCTTCTACCTCCGAATGAAAATTAATCAGTGGGTGCACACAAGAAACTTGAAATTCTTCCTATTCCTATTCAAATTACAATAACCGCTGAATTTAAAACAGAATTTCCAATGGTGCTTCCTAAAAAAAAAAGATAGAATATGTTATAAACACTAAACAGCATATATAGAAACTTCAGGTCGGTAAAATAGAACACTACATCAAGATTGAAAAATCATTCATTTAATTAATTTAATGAATTAATTATTCAATTAATTTATTAAATTAATTATTCAATTAATTTAATAACTTAGTTTTTAGTTACTTTTTAATTAACTTTGTAACTATTCAAAAAATTTACAAAATTATTAAAAATTATTTAAAAATTAATTATTCAATCAATTCAATAAATTTTTCAATTGATTTAATTAATCAATTTTTTATTAATTAATTATTAAATAATTTAATTAAATAATTATTTAACAAATTAACCCAATGAAATAATTATTTAATTGATTGGATAAATTAATTAAATAAATTATTTATTCAATTAAATAAATAAATTATTTATTCAATTAAATAAATAAATTAGGTATCAATTAATTTACTATTAATTATTGCATTAATTAATTTATTATTCAATTTATTTAATAAAAAAATTATTTGATTAATTTAATAAATAAATAATTCAATAAATTATTTATTTTAATAAATAATTTTTTCAATTAATTTAATAAATAAATTATTCAATTAGTTTCATAAATAAATTACTCAATTAATTTAATAAATTAACTTAATAAATTAATTATTTAATTGATTAAACATATTATTTATTCAATTAAATTAACTATTTATTAAATTAAATAAATAAAATACCAATTAATTTATTATTAATTATTTAATTAACAATTTAATAAATAAATTATTCAATTAATTTAATGAATAAATTATTTAATTAATTTAATAAATAAATTATTCAATTAATTTAATAAATAAATTATTTAATTAATTTAAAAAATAAATTATTCAATTAATTTAAGAAATAAATTATTCAATTAATTTAATAAATAAATTATTCAATTAATTTAATAAATAAATTATTCAATTAATTTAATAAATAAATTATTCAATTAATTTAAAAAATAAATTATTCAATTAATTTAAAAAAAAATTATTCAATTAATTTAAGAAATAAATTATTCAATTAATTTAATAAATAAATTTTTCAATTAATTAAGAAATAAATTTTAAGAAGTTAAGAAAGAAATGATTCAATCAATGAAAAAAAGAAAAAATGTATTATCTAATAAATAATTCATTAAATACATAGAGAGAGGTATTTAATTAAAATAAATAATAGAACAAATTAGAGAAATGAGAAGCGATTTTAAATACATTCCTTAAATAGTTGAATTGAACCGATGGATTCAAAAAAACCTTCGAAATGATTATCGGATGAGTTTATGAAATTTTTGCATTTATAATTTTGATTCGTTTAATCAGATGTGGAAATTGGTTTAATTAAATATTAATGTATCTTGCCCTGCGAGAGAAACTCAATTTTCTGCCTGTGCCTGTTACGAATGTTTTAGATTCATTCGAACCTATGAAAGTAATTCCTCTGTGTTTTCATTAGAAGATTCTTTGAAAGACTGTTCATTAGCTTTTATCGGTAAGCTGACCATTTGCATTAAGTAAATTCCATTATCAGAACTTCTATTGTGTGCTACCCACTGTACATGCACTAACTGTAGTAACCGCCCAGTGTGGAACTTGATTTCAAAATCCTCTTACTGAGACACATAAAAGTAATCTAAAATAACAACTCAATTAAACCAAATTTTTCAATTAAAAATTAAATCTGCATCTGGTGCACCTCTTTGATGTTTAAACTTTTGTTTATTGGGTCGCTGATATGAGTTTTGGGCCATATTTCGTTGTGATTGTAGTAATGATTCTTGATAATCTTCTTCCTCGATACGCTCGGAGATGTTCAGTGTTAAACGCTTAACTTTTTCATGTTCCTCGCGAATTTTTTCTTCTTGTTTTTTCAAGTTAATAGCTAAATGCGAATCATTCGGGGCTATGAACTGTTTAAACTGCTGTTTTCCTTTACCGCCACGCATCATTAGAACGAATTGTGTGCCCTCACTTGAATTCTTGGATGTGTCGTCGTTGTTTCCTTGTTGCGATGTTATTTGTTCATATGACTTTTTACTTTTTCTCGTCACCATTGGTACTGGTATATCTTTTGTATTCGGCTTAACCGTTTCCTTTAGACGTTCCTGATAGGAGTCGGCAGCCATTTTCTCAAACATCTGTTCGAACTCTAAATCTTCTTTGGACTTTTCTGGCATTTTTTCCTCATAGTCTTCGAGCACATACTCGTTTTCAGTCCAGTCTGTGTTATTACCAAAATCGCCTGTGTTACCCATATCTGCGTTCATCATCTCATCACCTTCTTGTACGCTATTGCGACGGCTATCTAATGAGTTCGAATTCTCACTTGCCTGTAGAGAGGAAATATTTTAAATTAATTTTCTATATATTTGCGGGTAGGTTTGTTTACGTACGCCATCATCATACTCATTGTCTTCAGAAATTGACTCAAGACCTTTATCATTTGATTCGCTTGCTGTTTTGCCTAAATTTGGATACAATTTTAATTTAAGATCCTCTACAGCTGTCACTGCCTCTTCCAAATTCTTATAAAGCTAGAAATAAATAAATAAAACCATTGTATTATATTGTATTTAAGTTTCTTTGGTTTTACGTACTTTCATTTTGGGACGCAAAAATGTAAAACACTCCTTGTACATATGATCCACCAATATTGGGAAAAGATCAAATGTATTCTCATTCTTACTAAATATTGGATGAGACTTTTTATGCCAATAATAACGTTGGAAAAATACAAGAAAATAGTCCATTCTAAACACAAAAAATTGTTTTTAATATAATATAAGTATATAATATACATTGTGACCGAAAAGTTTTCGGGAAATTTTAAATAAAACGCAAAATTCTTAACCTTCATCAATATTTATTTTATCTCCTTCAAAATATGCTCCATTAGAAGCAATACACAAATGCCAACGTTTCTTCCAATCATCAAAACATTTTTTATAGGCGCTTTCCGGTATGGCTTTGAGTTCCCTCTGCGAATTCTGTTTTACGTCTTCTATGGATTCAAAACGCGTTCCTCTGAGTGGTAATTTGAGGTTGGGAAACAGGAAAAAGTCACACGGTGCAAGATCAGGTGAATACGGTGGCTGTTCGATGGTATTTATTGAATGTTTGGCCTTAAAATCGTTGATAATGTTGAACAAATTGAGGTGAATCGGAACAAGCCGGGCGTTGACACGTCGCATACACAAATTGTCCACCAAAATCAAACGAGCCATCTCACGACCGATGCCTAGCTCTCGTGCTATCTCTCTAACACTCACATGAGGATTTTTGAACACGATTTCCTTTGCCTTTTCAATGTTTTCGTCGGTGGTAGAGGTCGAAGGTCGTCCAGAACGCGGCATGTCTTCGACGGTCGTACGACAGTCCTGAAAGGCTTTGTACCACTCATAAACTTGAGTTTTCGATAAAACTGATTCCCCATAAGCCTTTTGTAGCATTCGCAACGATTCTGCACACGAAATTTCGTTCGAAAAACAAAATTTGATGCAAACTCTTTGTTCAATATTTTTTTCCATTGTTTTTTTCGCAACGCACTACTGAGGTGAACTGGTTTCAACAGCTGCCGTCAACGAACTGTCTGACAGATCGCGCTCATTTTTGGCATAGTAATTAAGGACAGTGCTGCCAAACTACATAAACTTAAAATATCGAAAAATATACAGCGCGCGAATTTTAAATGAGAATTTCCGAAAACCTTTCGGTCACAATGTAAGTATATTAGAAGTATATAATATAAGTATATTGATATAGACTTTAATGGTTTATAAATGTTAATTTTTGCCGGACTTCTAGGTCATTGCTTTAAATAATTTAAAAAATTTGTAAGTTACATTAGTGCTTTTAAGATATTTTTTTATCTTATTTAAAGTAATATAGAAAAAAGACCTAAGCCCGTCAAAAAAAAACAAATACTTGAAAATAATAATAATTGTAGTATTATATATTACAATAAAATTATAATATATATAATATAATATATTAGATTGGAACGAATTATAACACAATCAATAATAATTTCATTTTGTTAGTATTTAATAGTTTTATTTTATCTTTAGTTCAAACAGCTTTTAAAGATATTGGTTTTAAGAGACAAC